CAATGTTTAATGAAAAAACACCTTTTGTATAATGCACACAACACTATTATATGGTTTGAACACAACGGTGCACGTGACTTTTCTCCAGCTTTCTCTTCAAGGATGTATACATTCTTTATTATGTGACAGGCTGATGCTCTTTAAAATCACACATGTCAATAGGACGATGCAAAGCTGGTGTCCGGTCACTTACTTTGATATTTCCGCGCGGATCGAATCCATCCAACTGGTTGATAAGTTCCAACATAGTACGCTGAACTTCATTATCACTGCCAGCTCCATCATCGAAACGTGCGCCTATAAAGAAGCTGTAATACTTAAAAATAAAACGCACCTCCGACAGCGTCTATTTCGTCAAAGAATATGATACACGCTTTTTTGCTACGGGCCAATTCAAATAACTCTCGCACCATGCGAGCACCTTCACCAACGTACTTCTGAACCAGTTCAGAACCAATAACACGGATGAAACAAGCATCCGTTCGGTTAGCAACCGCTCGCGCGCAAAGCGTTTTACCCGTGCCAGGTGGGCCGAACAAAAGCATTCCCTTGGGAGGTTCGATTCCGAGGTTGACAAACTGCTCAGGCTGAAAACAATTCAGAAAGGACAAAGCGATCAACCAAAGACCGACATTGCATACACGCAAGGTGGTTTTCAAGTCTACGTAATAAAAATTCCAATTTCCATCAAAAATATCGGTAAACACTAACGAAAGCTAATAGAAACATACGCATCAAATAGTTGTATAAATGTGCAAATGGTTGTTTAGCAGATTGAAGTTTTATGTTGAGACTGTGAAAAGTTCAGGAGCCTCGGTGGGCTTTGAAACCACGTATGGACGCCGCTGCGCTTTTGTACAGCGCGCGCTCTACCAGCTTAGCTACGAGGCCACACCGATAGTACTGATTTTTTTCACATTCAAATTACCATCCAACTTACAGAGGCATGTGGCATCCCCCAGTTAGCATGTAAGCTGATTGCCCCAACAGGATTTCCTGATAGTTCATTGGAGTCCGACGGATGAACACCTAAGGCAAGGTGAGTTGTGCAAAATGGGTAATTCGAATGTGAAAAGAT